GCTTCCTTAAAAATACATAAAATAAAATTAAGGACAAGAGAAAACGTTAACTTTGGTTGCACCGAAACTTTAATGCCCTTCACAAATGCAAATATTTCCATACAAGGTATTAATTTTGACCGGTCAATTTGTATGGCAGCTATATGTTATAGTGGTCCTATCTGAACAATTTCTTCGAAGATTATACCGTTATTATGAAAAGTAATCCACGATAAATTACGTGATATCTTGTCAAAGAAAAAGTTTTTCCTCACAAGGAATTAATTCCGATCCTTCAGTTTTTAAGGCAGCTATCTCTAGTGTAAGTGGTTCATAATTTCATTATTAGGATCATAAACATATTCATTTCTTCAGCCGCTGGGCTTGCGTTTTCGGCTTTATCGTAGAAAAACTTTAAAGTATGACGTATTTTCACTTTGCTAGTGTTCATCTTAGAAGCGTGTTAAAACGAGTGAAACAATTACAAAACTCTCTAAGAGCTTTCTTAGTACGAAATTTTATCTTTCTAATGCGAGATTGCGTAACCCAAGCTTACTTATATAACGCGAAATACAGATTACTAAAGGCATCTATTAGAAAAATAATGGATTTCCTTTTATTAAATATAATATTAATAGAAAGCTGACCCTCCATGTGCTGGAATTACAAAGTTTCTGATATCAAGAATACCTTGAAATAAATTTATCTGAAACAATTTCGACCCAAAATCTGACTTACCAACGAATGTCTGTGGCGAAGAAGTATAGCAGTAAATCTTATATATTCAGTTTTGATATTTTTTAAGGTATGATATATTTTATTAGATACAAAATGACTGTATATTTCTGATATAGCTCAATGATAACAATATAAAGAGAAGCTTTGGCGAGCTATTAGCAAAAAGTAGCTTTTACCGTTGATATGTAGGAAAGAGTTAAACCGCTAGTATGACGACATAACAAAACAGAGATCCAAAGTAGAATGTTGTTCATATAGCTGTTGTTGTTCCACTAAAGTACAAAAATATTTAAGAAAGGCTGCTTGGCGATTCTTATTAGGCCCATTTTGAGGCAAATTCGATCTGTTTTGTTTGTACTGGGTGTCATTATGGTTTAAGAAGAGTGTATGAATGATTCTAGTCGAACTATCGATTAACGTTGTAGTTATGTGGGCCTGGTGATATTAAAAATAATTATGATTTATCAAGTTATTGAAATATTAATTAAATTACTAATTTAAGGCTACATTTAGCAAACAACAAGAAGGAAGAAATTAAAAATTGTTTTCGAATCTCAATAAATATTTAGTCTCTAATCTCGAAAATCGAATTATTAGTATATTCGGAAGCGATATGTGCTGGGAGGTATTTCTTAAGAGAAAAAACTGAGATAGTCCCGTTAGTAAGTTCTCTTAGCTGATAGCTCAATATACCATAGTTGGTTGACTGAAAAATACTTGGCCAATTGAAAGTTTTTAAATTATTGCAGAGACGACTTCGTCATTACAATTACAAGCAAAATACACAACAGACCTGTTGATTATCCAACGTCCTCGTCGATCTAACGGTAATTTGTGAATATTATTAATTTAAACGATCAATCTTAGGGAAAATATCGCGAATCTTGGAACTCTGTCTTTGCTACTTGCCAATAATAGAATTCTTTAAAACTTACACAAAAAACACACTATGTTGACAAGTGATATATCCATATATGTATAAAGTACACTTGAGTACATCGCTAAGCAGCAGTTATTGATAGGTATATAACACAAGAGTGCAAACTGTGTGCTTATCAATCATTATTATAATAATTTTGCTCTTCTTTCAGTCACATTCGCAGACGTCGCCAACACAGCGGGACCCGCAGCAACTGTGCAAAAATAGTATTTGCGGTGCGTTTGGGTGTGTAAGTTAGTTTTTGGTCACTTTTATTTGCGTATATTTTTTGTTGCCTTTTTCACTGTATTTCGCTTTATTATTTCATTTGTCACTGTGCGTTTTCTGTTTGTTTTATGATGAAAATGTAATTAACTATCGTGTCAATATTTGCTACGCTATCATTCAACGCTCTTCACCTCAGCCTATGCGGCCAAGTGTTGAAATGCGCTGTTGGCATCTATGGAAGCAGGAAGGAGACTGTACTCAGCAGCTGTCAAATTATTTATGTCTCAGTATTACTTAACGATTCGCTGTCATTGTCAGATGTAATAATTACCGCACGACCACATGCGACCGTACAGAGATGAAGTATAGATGGAAGTTCACTGGTTTTCATACACTCGATGAACAATTTTCCTTAAACAAACAGACATGTACTTGTTTTTCCTTTTTGAAGACTGGCACTTTCACCCCACTGATATTCGTTGAAGTCACAGCTACGCAAAGCTTCTTGTATACATTGGTTAGGTGCACTCATCTGGAGCTAATATGTGCCAACAAGATGCTCATTTGGCGACATTGCTTTCTAATGAGATAGTCGCTCAAATTACAAATAGGAATAAAAGTGCAGTTTAATATACATAAATAATATAAAAATAAGCTGTCGCGGTTTCTTTATTGTAAGAAAAATGAATTATTCGAAGTATTTCCCTTCGCTGGTTACAATTTTTTCCCATCTTTTTAGCAAAGCTCAAATACCATTACGGTAAAACTGTTCCACTTGTCGTGCTATCCAAGAATCAAGCTCAATGTCGGCTTGTGAGTGCAACTGGTTCTGAGCTAGATCATGTGCCATCGAATGGAACAAATAATTATTGAACGATGCAATATTTGGGGAATATGGCGGGTAGGGTAAGACTTTCCATTTAGGCGTTTGCAGGCAGGTTTTAACGGATTTGGCAACGCGAAGCTTGTTCACTTTTTCGATACCGTTCCTCATTGATGGTTTCGTTTGGTTTCAGCAGCTCATAATAAAAAACGCCGGCCTGGTCCCACCAAATAAACAGCATAGCTTTACCAACGTGAATATTCGGCTGAGGCGACGACATTGAAGCATGACAGGGCAGTCCCCATGACTTTCTTTTCTTTGGATTGATGTAGTAAATCCACTTTTCATCACCCGTTACGATTCAATGAAGATAACTCTTTTTTTCCCAAGTTCCTTGTTTCTGAATTATTCGCAGCGCATCTACGTTTAACCACTGAAATATTTATGTCTTATTACAATAGTACCAAAGTGGGTAGCATAAAAATGCAATGACCGTTACCATAAATTGAGTAAACTCTAAAAAATCCAACAGTTGTGCAATAAATGGCCAACTTGAACATGTATGAAAGTATTTTCTACGCACGCACTCAATTGCAAAATCCTGACGCATTTACACCTTAGCAAATACTCAAGCCAATTTGTGGCTCATCATTTGCAGTGCATCTTCAGAGACCAAATTGCAACATATGAAAAAGTCTGCAGAGTTCACTGTGCGCTGAGAAACACTCATAAAACAGAGATGCATATACATACATATGTACATGTGAGTCATTTGTTTTTAGGAGATTCAACAGTAGAAATGTGTGGAAGTAGTTGCTGACGTATGCATGAATGTACATACTCGAATATGTGTATGTAAATGTTTTCCTCGACTGTTCTATTATAAGTGATTTTTCTGGATATGAACTTCCTGTTAAATATTTTTTGGTCTTCACACGTACATTCACGACTGAATTTCTGGTTTTTAAAGCAATTCATTTCAGCTGCAAATTGGAGCCATTTTCCATACAAGAACTTGATTTTGATCGATATGCTATAGTGGTCCACTGTTGGCGGTACCGAAAAATGAGCAAATTATATTATATTATATTTCAGTTCACTGATATACACCTACAATAGTTGAAATAGCAAAATTCTTCGATTCTTATATAATTTTGAAACCACTTACCGATATATATATATTTTTAAATTAATATAAAATAAAATGTGTCATAAACAAACATTTATTAAAAAAAATTAAAAACATTTTACATAGTGGTGCTGATTTTTATCAATAAACTTTTTATTAGGTGCTGTACGAAAACTTTATTGGAACTCTGTAAATAAACATGGCTAAATTGATTCAGCTCCTCACGCTAATAATTTGTATATATACTTTATAGGGCCTCTAACGTTTCTTTCAGGGTGTTACAAATTTTGTGAAAAACTTAATATACCCGGTTCAGGGTATAAATGTCATGAAACATACAATGTTGGTGTGGTACAATGATGGTAATTTCATATTAACGTGGGTCTACAAAAATAATTTTGAAGATTTGAGATCAATTAAATTGACAGAGATTGAAAGGTGGTATCTTTTCAGTCGTCTACGTTGTTGACTATTTTCCAGCAGTTTATTTTCATGGCTTTCCAATCAACAGAGGTAAGGAATACTAAATTCTTCAATAGTCTCAGTTACTGTGGGCACCTTTAGGTCGCGATCGAGGACCCACATTACGAAGGTGCACCCACAATTGTACGAAAAACTTTATTCTAAAAGGTTTGAATAATTGTACAATTTATTCAGCTGAGTCGCCCCACATTTTTATTTCCATACGACCACATCGACCTGAGTGTTGTCCAACAAGGTTTTTTTACAAACTGAGACGGGACTCTAGATTTTCACGGGCTCTCTCGCTTGTGTTTGTTGGTAGCAATTGATCTTATATGGCTATTCTAGAGCTTGTAAGAAATTTCCGGTATTGATGCCAATATTCCATGATTCTAAAGCAGTCATTTGTGTTTGCAATTTCCTGGAGGCGGCAGAAGGGTTACCACTCGACGCCAGTAGTTTAGTGTCATTTGCGTAGGTTGCCGTTTTTTGAATTACAAGTAGATGAATGACAAATGAGTTTAAAAGATTTGGAAAAAAAAATTTTATACACTGTGATGCAGTAACAAATATTGATTTAATTTCCCGCGTAGTTTATTCCAACTCAAAAAATGATTAATTGAAAATAGATATAGACGATTTTATTTCATTATAATTAAAAATTTTATTACAAGATTTTTCTTAATTGTATGGAAATATATTTTAAATCTGGTAATTGTTTTGAATTAATATTTCTAGGCCATTTGAATACATGAAACCTTTTGGGCGCAATATAAGATAATCTATAAATTAACATATCTTTCTGTTAATTAAAATAAACAAAAACATTCGAAATATTCTCAAAATCTGCAAGAGTTTTATCACCTCTGTACATGTCCTAAATAGTAGATGGCCTCTCTATTTCGTATCGCAAATACAAACAGATGAGGGTTTGAACAGTTTCTGATCCAAGTTATGCCATGATTCACATAAAGGATTTGCTTTGCTTTTGCTTTGGGATTGCCACCTGCTAAAATCCGTTGACTCACTGAAGATATTTACCATACCCAACTGTAATTTCATAATATTATTCAAATCTGTATGTTTAATGTCATGCGCCCCCAACTAAGTTTCTACAGAGGTTGCTTCAATTTCACGCCGCCAGCTCCTCGACTTTATTGGATGAAAGCACTAACGTAGAAAAATCTTAGTTAGTTTAGGGCTACTCAATAGCTTTCGATTTTAATCGGTTAATTCGCCATACTTCAGATGCCCAGCGCCATTATTCATCATAGGTACCGGCGAAGTTGGTCTGTCGCTCATTGGGCACTCATCATTCGAAGTTTAGAATCCAGTGAAGGGATTCAGCCATAAAGCTTTAAAGTAAGTTGCATTGACTAATATTGTCTCGGCAATGACAGCATTCTGTTGTAGTAAATTCATGATTTTACCTTTGTTATCAATCAACGTATGAAATGTTTGTATAACATTAGACGACTCGGCAAATTTGTTTAGCACCGCTTTGGATTGGAAACTCGATCCAGCAAGTTCATTGAATTTTTCTGATAACTCATAAGTATGTGTAGATCCGGCAAAACGGCCAACCGAAACCTCGGGACTTCTTTTGCTGCATTCGAAACTTAATAGAAATTCTTCTGCAGAAAACCCGTGTAATCGGCTGTGATACTCGGTCCATCCAACACGGCTCGCAGACGTAAGCCGCTGCGCAGTTGTTGTGTTGTTTCACCTTTAGCGCTGAAGAAGGCTAACACCAAACAACTCTGAATGGGAGCTGGTGAAAAACCGATCTACACCTTGAAAAATGGAAGAAATTGCCACTAGCTACTATATACCTGTGCCAGCTGCTGCCATGTTGATTAAGGTTGCAGCGATGAGTGTATACATATACTACTTGAAAACTGGCTGAAAAATATAAAGAAATTCTGTTAAAAGCTTCCAGTTAAAATTTCTATGAAGCGTTTTCCAACGTTATACATTATTTTGGTTTGTGTATGAAAGAATACAAATCACAGGAATTCGACTAATAGCATTAAAATACATGCGAACAAATATTTGTATGTGTGGGTGCTAACATCACGCATCTGTCGATTGGAATTTGTATAGTTAAAAACCAATTGAACATTTGCTCCAAAAATTCAATTATAACTAATAATGCATGGTGCAGGATTGCGTGACAATGTGCAAATAAGTTTGAAGCTCAAGTTAAGCTTTTACTGTTAAAATGCGCATTCATTTAGTATGTTTGAAACTCCAATGAGTTTCTGATGTTTTGTCCAGTTGTTGATGGAGGCTTTGCATACAAATATAGTTAGCTAATGTGACAGGTGAATTATTTTACCTATATATGTATATGCCAATGATGAGTTTAAAATATTTGGGAGAATAATATGGGAAAAATTAATAATATTTTGTATTTAATTATATTCAGTCATGGCAGAAATAAACAAATAAGTTGAGAAATAATAAAATCGGACAAAAGACATGCTTAGTTTTCATATCAGCTTCTTAGATGAACTTATTTAACTTTTTTGTTACCAATTAGTATTCCCGGCAATCGAATAAAATTATTTATTTTGGATAATTAAGAATTTTAAGGATATAAGATAACTTCTAACCAAAAATTAGATAATTCGATACCTTATCTAAAGCTTTACGTAAAAATTAATTTTATTGAATGTATTGTATATCAATTCAAATTTTTTATTAACATATATTCTGAAATATTTCAGCCATCATAAATTCTTAAAACTTTAATTTCTAGCCACTTTGACGACTGTCAATTAAATTTGTACATATTCACAATGCACGTACATATATCGCCGGCTACTTACTTGCACACTAACACATGCATAAATACAAAACTGTAACGTCCAGTTTCCGCTGCTTTTTGCTTTCGGTGCTTATTGTGGCTTGCGGATGTTGTTGTGCTTTGGTTTTTGTTTACTACACATATTTGCGTGTGCCTCTCCAACAATTTTCGTGAAATCAACCTCTCCCAATTCCTTCCTCTATTACCTTATTGCAAATTACAGTCATCGGTCACATTGTTTATTTGCTGTTTGGGTTTGCGTGATGCACGGCGTATGAGTGACCTGTAATTGCGAACACATTTTTTAAAAGCCATTCATTAGCACATAATGATGTACAATACATACTGACCTAGATCTGGGCTTTAGCTTAGCATCACCGCTACTGGTGGCCGGCTCAATAGCTTTGATCAAGCTGGCCTTTTTATCAGCGGAAACGGATGGACTGGCGTTGCGGTTCTTTACTGTGGAAGAAAGTATATTTAAGTTTACATACCTACTGCATATTTTATATAAATATACGAAAATTACAATTTTCGATAGCGAAATCAATTTAATTATTACACAGCAAATACGACTTATATAGATTTCCAGTTTATATTAAACTTAGAACAGTACAGTATAATACACAGATTTTAGCATATATATTTTAATTTACTTTGAGTAGATACCAAGTATAAAGTTTTTTATGTAGTCACAATCTTTACAACCATAATGAAATATTTTTAAGGAGGACTGAACCACTCTGCCTGAGATCTAAGGTCTTGTATAACACAGCTTACGAATGATTTTAGGCATGTGATCTCAGTGTCAATAGTTTTTCAAGCATTCAAGCTATTTTAACCCTTTTCCGCTCTTGACATTTTGTCGAGAAATTTGCTCGAGATTTCTAAGCGAAGAGAAATTTTTAAAATCTGAACACGTTAGTTTAAGTCTGCCACGATGTTTGTCACACCCAAAAGGAATCATCAGCCTGATGAGCTGAGTCGATTTAGCCATATCCTGTCTGCAATTTCATTCTTGTTCTTTTCTCAACAAGAGAATCGGACCACTATAGTTCATAACTGCCATAAAAACTGAACAATCTGTATCAAGTGCTTGTATGGGAAACTTTTTCATTTGACTTTTTCAGATATCTTCACGAAATTTGCACGGGTTATTGCCTACGGGAATAACGCAATCTCCAAAAAAATTGTTCAGAGTGAATTACTATAGAATATAGTTGCCATACTAACCAATGGGATTCAAGTTTTTAGAAGGAACCTTTTTTATTTGTGAAGGGTATTATAATTTCGGTGCAACCGAAGTTAAGGTTTTTTCGTGTTTTTCTCTAATTTTGTGACATATTGCACAATACTCAATGAGTTTTGCATTCAGTTGCATTCGAATTTCCAGGAAATTTATAAAAAAAAGTTAAAATTTTCATTTCTTTTTACGTTAAATACCGAAACCTTAAGTTATGATAAATCTTTTCAAAATACATTTAAGGCACAAATCCATTTGATATAAATTAGTTGTGCACTTAAACTACTATTTATCTTGGCAAAATCCATAGGCAGCAAAAAGAAATTGGATTTCTAAAATGTCTGAAAAACTAACGGAAAAAAGCTATTACGAAAGAGTTGAGTAAGAGTCCAACCACAGGCAAGCAAGAATGTTTAGATATGTGCGAAGACAAAAGTCACACATTCACACAAATGCATATTTATTCACTAATGTGTTTGAGAAACACAAGTCTAATTTGCAAAATGTCTAAAAATAGCCATAGAATAAGTTCGTGGCAATAAAAACTTTTGACAAATTACTTGTGTACGAGTGCATACATACATATTTACTTGCATAAATATGACAAGACCATCACCAAACAACAGCAGCAGGAAGAGCTATTAACACAGTTCAGTAGTTGCCATGCTAATACCAGTGGCCCAATAAAATCTCAAAACTACAATTGAGTGCAGCTAAAAAAAAAAAAAAACAAAGAAAAAGAAAAAGTGAAAAACTTTTGAGCGAAGCAAACTATGCAATGCTACAATCAGTCAAGGTGCAAAAGTGCAGAAAAATTTCAGCAGAGATGTGTGTGTAGCGAAGTACGACTAAGTAGCGTTGTGTGCCAAGAGAGCCGAGAGAGGGCTGACAGGGAAAGAAAAATGTGTGTCTGTAGTGAAACTTAATGAATAGCAATGAGTTCGAAGTTCAAGTGCAATTATGGGCAGACATGATTGTTCGCCATTGCCATTATGTCTACTCACTTGCAGTTTTAGCTCTTCTTGGATCGATTGTGTGTGTGAGTGGGTATATGTACGTGTCCATGTCGTTTCATTAAAATTGCTGCTGTTTAGACATGCGAGTAATTACTTTATTGATCTTTATAATTATTAAACATTTTGTAAGAGAGTAGATAAACACACACACAAACACACACACATATTATTTAAATAAATATAAAATTTTTCACAAAATTATTTTCAATAAAATTTGTTTTCATTCAACAAGCTTGTTATCGTTAGCTGTTTTGTAATGCGAAAAAACGGTACAGCAAAACTGATAAGTTAGCACCAAAAACCAATTAACACAACTGATAAAATGTTAGCTTCAATTGGCAAATAAATGACAACATTTTAATACGTTGCCAATCAAACATACCCTGTAGGAAAATTTTTGGTGTGCAATATCAAGTTTGGAACTAATACCAACACTGACAAAATTGAAGTAGCTTTGTGTGCAGAGTTCTCACTGAAATTCTTTTTTATAAAATAAAATCAATTATAGATTTCTTTTTATAGATATCGGTTGGTTCTAATGTAATTTCTCTCCTAGTGCACCTTGAAATATTATGAAAACGTCATTTCTAGCTCATGACAGGTCTAAGAAGTGCCTAAGAAAAGTTCTTTGGTCTCTTTCTCTTTCTTTTCCAAAGCTTGTTTTTTGATTTGATCAATGCATTGGGTCTCTTTTACCAACTTTTTGAACTTTGATCTGATCCCACACATTGAGTTTATTGCAATTTTATGCAAAAGTAAAAGAAGTTTCTCCATCATCCTGAGAGAGCTGTCTGTCGTAAGAAGAAAATATAGATACTGAGCGCTCGGTCCACTGATTTCATGTAGCAATTTGTACGTATATTCATAAGGACCCAGTAAATCGGTCACAGCTAATAAAAATAAAAACATATTCATAACAATCATTGTCGCTAATAATTTCGTTTGTAGGTGAATACGCTGTCAACTAACTTTTTTCACGTGTTGTGCCAAGTTTCCATTTTCCTGATAACTGGTGGCACATCGAATTATTTCGAATAATCGGGTATGCTTTTGATTTTGATCAAAATTATAGTAAAACTTAATATTTAATAAACTTGTCATTGTTTTTGAAATTATTTGGTAGCCTGTATACAACGGATACAAGTTCCGTGAGGACCGACTCCGCTAAATAGATAAAGAACAATTATATATTTATAAGTCTAGCCTCAATATAAAGAACGGCTTTGTATAATTTATCAAGCATGAATAGAAACTAATTATTGTTCAGAAGAAAGTCTCAAAAAGTTTGAATTTATCAGCTGTGATAGATATAAAATATATACATGACGAAGTGCTTCGTTTTAGTGAAGAAAGTGGTGAGCAGAGCATAGTGTTGGTTTTTCCTAGAGGGTGTGCAAATATTTATTTCTATACCACATATACGTATACACATATAAAAAGTTTATTGAAGCATAATTATTGCAAACATTTTCCATTTCAATTATCACAAATTTGTATGGAATGTGTTTATATCAAACATTTGTGTTACGAAGCCGCATGTTTTTGGTCAAAACGCTACAGCATTAGTTTCAACAAGTTAGAGAAATTAGTGAAACTCAACAGAAATTGAACGCCACATATGGCAATTTTGTAAACTCTGTCCAATCAAAGTATGAAAATGCTAAATAGTTCAGAGTACAATATTACAAAAACAAAAAAGAAGCAAATAACCACAACTTTTGGATATTTCGCTGAATACTCAACAAAAACAAATATATAATATAATTTTTCCGTGTTATCCATTATTTTTGCATTAAATTGAAGGTATTATTTAGCATAATGGGTTGATCGAATTTATTTAAAATATGTAGCGTGTTTTTTTTTTTGATGACTGGTTGTCATTTTAAAGATAATTTCAAAATGTCATTTCCTAGTTTTAACAACCAAAATCAAGCACCATAGACAGGAACAGGTAGTAATCACTTGGTGGTATTGAGAAAAAAATATAAATTTCAAGAGACATAGTTGTATTTGAAGTTTAAAACAAAATGTCACAAACTTATAAAGCTGAATTCGTTGTTTCAATTATAGGGGAAATTATTAAGTAAGAGGCAATTGGATTTGGATGAAAGTCAGAATATTAATGTATTACACACAAAAACTCAAAATGTAATTAAATGGAGAAAACCACCAAAAACAAATCAGAAATTTTAAATTGAATATTATATTGTGTTCGAAGGCGATAAAGTGGAAAACAAAGTGGAAAATATCATAAAGGGCGGGTCTAAAACTTAAACTTTAGCCAAAGTCTTGTAACGCACACAAACGCATACATACAAACATATATGTTGTAAGTAAGTTGTTCATTTGTCGAAGATATTGCAAATTTTTATTCTCCATGCCCAACTAGGAGGTATTCAAAAGTGTCGCACAAAACTGCTAATATTCGCACTCGCTCTGTCATTTGAATGTTTTATTGAGCAGCCGCAGCCACAGTGCCAGCCGCAGGAACTTGCAACAGCTGTCCGAAAATATATCACTTTTTTGCGTCGATTTGTTATGGAAACAAAGTTGGCGTGTGCTTACGCACACAGATAAAGGCAAATAAGCAATTTATAGGCAATATGCTTGAATTGGAATTTGTAAGTGAAAGAATCAGTGAATATAAATATATATTCCAGCACACACGTACATACATACATAAGTTGCCATTTAAATTTCGTTTGAGGGGCACTTCCGCCCAAAAGTTTTGTCGCCACTTAAATTTTGCGGCTTGTTTTGAAGTTCGGAGGATTAGTGTCCTTCCGTTCGAAATTAGTTTAAAGTTTAACTTAAGTTTGTTTTTTATCTCATTCAAAACATTTTTTATTTCATTTAAATGTACACATTGATGAAGATTTGGAATGGTTGCATGTGCTCAAATGAAATCTGACAATTTACAAATTTGAAACTTGTTGATATTCCATATTTATACACAACAAATATATGCTGCAAGATTAAATATTGTAAATTTCGTTGGAGTTTTAGAAAAAAACTGTCACAGAGAACCACTTATTCTATGAGTCCATTGAGTCCGTATGTGGCCGTTTTTAGTATTAGATATTTTTCAAATTTTTTTATTCTGTTATTAACTGATCTTGCAGAACTAAATTTTGTTAATAGTTTCGCTCTTGGCCTGCTTAATAAAAAGATCAGGTGCATTATGAGTTATAAGATACCTACACATAAAACAGTTGAAGAGAGTTGAACAGAGCCTGTTGCACATAGCTTTATAGAAAGCTAGAAGAGAGGAAGAATTTTCTAAAAAGAGTAAACAAAGTCAACCTGTAAAGGGTTTGAAGATCTCGAAGCTAATACCTTTAGGAACAGCAAGAGAAACTGATCTTCAAAGTTTCTTTTTTAATCTAGGATAAAAAAAAATGCTTCAAACTTAAGAAGAGAGCGACCAATAGATTAATTTATTCAAACTTACAAACAATATGTCATCTGTAGTGCCTTTGTTTGAAAGTAATGTAGTTATAAACACTGACCGAAAATACTTATCAAAACTTCGGGTAAGGATTTTCAACATATTACTTAAGAATATAATACCGCTGCCTTATTGATTGATACAATACACTTATTTACACCAATAAGTGGTAACATCAATAGGTCTCGAAGCGATTTAAGGTATCCTAGTAGGGAAACTAAACATATTTCTTATCCAATATTTTCAAATCACTTAGTTTAATACATTTTAATTAATTTCCCTGCTACATGTTATAAGCCGTATATTAGGATTTTATGAGAAGCTTTTACAAGACTTTATATCTGTCTAAAGAGCATGGCACAGTTTGTCGATATACATATGTACGTTGTTAGAATAAATAAATTCCTCCAAAGTCCAAATAAATACAGCGTCATTTTGTCCGTAAGAGCGACTTGATATCTAATATTGATACTTCATCTAGTCCCTTGAACTTCGAAGCTCCTAGATATCTAAAATCTTCTAAATAATGCTGGAAAGAAACAAAGGAGGTGTTTCAGCGTCTCTCTCATGCAACTTCTATACGTATTACTTATGCCCATCCGGCTTTCATGTGACGCCATATCATCAGCTATTTCATTTCCCAGAAATCATTTGTGACCTGCAACTCAGTATATAAACAGCCGCTTTCCGGCAGCCACTACATCTATTGCCTTCCTACTTCTAAGCACATTCTGAGACGTAATTGGATGTGAGTTCATTGCCTTAATTGCCGCCTAACTATCGACGCATATATTGATCTTCTTTATGATGTTTCGTACGTTGTTAGCTATCTCAGCCGCTATGCTGACCGCAAACCCTTATAAATGTTATAATTTCCGTTAGCGAGTCGGATGCTCCTGCGGCATCCACCCTCTTTTAGTGTGCCTTGAAACCTTTTCTCCAGCTTTGGTAGTCACACCAAAGAAAGACCAATTTTAACCTTTTTAGAATAAAATTTAAAAAGGTTTGCAATTGCGGTTAAGCGATTTTTCAAGAGATGCATAAAGCTTTAGCATTCTTTTCCTATTATGACATACTCTACGACTATTTTTATTTGTTATTTTTTTCAATTTCCAGGGAGAATTATTATCATTTTTAGGCAGTGAAGTGAAACCACTTGACTCTCTGCTTGAGTGAAATCTAGCGATGCATATAAATTTTTAGTTTAAGTACTAATAAAGACTCTCATACACGAAAGAACTTGTGCTTGTGTATGTGTGTTTATCGTATAAAGTGTCTATGTACGCAAGCACGTGCCGAAACCGGCTCCAACAGAATTTAATCACTTTCATCCCAATAGCCCACACATATTTACCTATAGGGTTTTTATGCTTTTATCATGCGGAATCGTCCTTTAATACTTTTTTCCAACCAGATTGTCTATGCGAGTGTATGTGTGTGCTATTAGGTTTTCAGCATAAACTCTAATTTAGTCATCCGTGGAAATATTTTAGCTCTGCGGAGAAGGAAAGCGACGCACACATATGGTTTTGTTCTGCGTATGTGTTTGGCGGCGTTGGCGTGTAAAACATTCAAACCGCTATACTCGTACATATGAATAAGTAAGTTTGTATGTTTGGGAGTATACATACATGAAATTCGCTCGTGCTCATGGTTGTTCATTGTAAACTCAGTTTTGTATTTTTTTCCCAACATTTTTTAATCTATTCTCATTTGCCGTAGCGCCTGCATAATTTCGTTTTTCATGCCTTTATTACGTAGGTATTCCATTACTCAAAAGTAATACTCTCGTTTGTTTAAAGCGGTTAAGAGACGAAAAATTCGAAATTAATTTAAATGAGTCTTTAAAATTTCATAATAAACTGATTGAATTTATATTACATAATTTTTGAGTGAGACTTTTGCATATTAAATTTAAGTTTCTTCTTCACCAAAAATAAGGGGAAAAAATATTTTTGTGATTAAAGTTTGCTTTTGTAGAAATTGTTTTCGTATTTAATTATGTTCGTATGGGAAAATCAGGCCATTTGTGTTAGGCAAAAGCAAACTTTAAGAGCTAATAATAAAAATTCCAGTGTTTTGCATTGTTAGGATCCGAATTAGAGCAGGAAAACACAAAACAAAAAAAAATTTTTTTGTTGTTGACTGGTGTTATAGTTGACAATGACTATTTGGTTTTATACGATTATAAAGGGTGATTCGTTTCGATGTCGCCGAGATCACGAGCTTCAATTTCAGGCATGAAATATTCAGTTATCATGGTGCGATAACGTCACCATTGACGGTTACGTTCTCACCGGCATCATTTTTGAAGAAATATGGACCAAAGATTCCACGGGCCCACCAACCACACCAGACTGTTGTTTTTTCTGGATTAAATGGCTGTTCTAGAAATTTTTCAGGTCGCCCTTCGTCTGAAATAAGGCAATTTTGCTTGTTTACATACCCATTGAGCTAGAAATGGGTGTTATCGCTGAACAAAATTTGGCTTGAAAACGTCGGATCTTCTTGGAACTCTTCAAGAGCCAATAGAGCGAAGCGCTGTCGCTTTACATACATGCGCCGAGTCTTTACATACGTCAGGTCGTGTATACTCTCAGCAACGGTCGCTGTATTTTCACCACTGCGTGCTGGACGTGGTCTATTCGGTCGAATATTTACCAATAATGAATGCTGGGTCTCAAGATGGGTGATGGTATTGCGAAGAGTACACTCAGTAGCCCGATTATGTTGACCATAAGTTGAGCGAAGTGCGCGAAATACATTTTTTACGGAACGTGAATCTTCGTAATAAAGTATAACGATATGTAAACGTTATTAAGTTTAAGTCTTTACATGATGAAATGTCAAACAATACTTAACCAAAATAATATGACAGCTTGACATAATTCACGAGTAGTCTATCAAAAAAAGGCTATTGCAAAAGGTACTTCTAATTGAATCACCCGTTTCTTATTTTTCATAGGAATATATTATATGAAAACATCTTTCTATGATAAAGAAAATTCTAACTTTATAAAATGTTTATAAAAAGGTTAGAGATTCATCTACTTTATACCCTTGTACACAAACAAAGACACGCTATATGAGCCAGGTGTGCCATTTTTCAAAAGAGCAGTAAATTGTATAACGTCTTAGTGTTCAACCTTTATCTATTAATTTAGGCACCACTTCCAGCATACTTCTTTCTTTAAATTTTTTGGGAAAACTATTAGCATTTTTTTAGGCAACCCAGCGTTGCATGTGACGCATTTTCAGGAAGATTTATACTAATAAACAAGCACATACTTATACATACAAATATAGATGTGCAAAGGAAGGAGTGCATGTACTGGTGTGCTCTTGACATAAGCATTATAAAACGGCTATGTATGCAAACACGTACCGAAACTGGCTCCCACAAAATTTATAAACTTCTCAACACAGTGAACACACACATACCTACACACATATACAAAAATACATGTTCATTTAACGATTTTATCATGCAGCATTCTCTTTCAACACTTTTGTCTGTGCTAGTGTATGTGTGTTATTAGATTTTCAGCATAAACTCTGATTTAGCCATTCGCGGATACATTTAAGCTCTGAGGAGAGGGGTAGTAACACACACATATGGTTGTTTTTTGCGTCGGTATTTGGAGCCTTTCATGTGTAAAAAACATATACATATGTATGCATGTATGTATGGGTGTGTTGTCCAAAAGTAATACTTGCGTGTCTTTAAAATGGTTTGGAAGCGCAAAATTTCGATTTTAATTTCAATGTGTCTTTAAGAATTTTAATATTTTTAGTAAATATAACAGTAATAATAGTAATAATTAATTACTACTAGAATAGTAATAGTAATTAAATTGTCAACCGATTCAATTCGATATTGTTTTTACTATCATATTTGCTTATATTAAAGTTGATCATGACTGTTTGGTTTCATTAGATTATATTTCCTTGTAACAGAAATATGAAGTATGCATTAAAAGCATTGGCGAATGGCCTTGGCACTAAACATATACCTACATATTTGAAAACATGCTTACGTAATTGTGCTTTCATATTTAAGAATTGACCGATCTATACGCCATAAAGTCTTTAGAAAGTATTGAAACCCCGTATTCGATGCACGCGAACTAGTCGAAGATACGGACAGATTTCAACTATTTTCGGTTCAGGATTGCTATATTAATATTTAAAAATCAGAAGTATTTGTGTTAATTTTCTTGCGACATCTTCGTTGACTCTTGAGCTATGCTGACATTTGAATGTTTGCGTGGTTGTGGTCCTCTTCTCTGAATTAAAATGTTTTGCAAGGTTAATATTTGAAAATTGTGTCATTTTATGTTGCTAAAAAATAGGGATCCATACTGAAAGGAATCCGCTTGAAGCTATTGAATGACTCTTGACTTTAAAATGAACGCAACAGGCATGCTCTCTTAAATTTACGTTTAAAACTTAGTCGGACTCTAACAGCTCTGAACAACAGACTACTTTTTTCATTCTATTTTCAGCTAATAGAGATAAAATCTCAAATATTGAAATAATAGTGTTTATTATTGCACTCAAGATAAAGAAGTACTATCCAAGAGTTTTCCCACAGCGAAAAAGCTCCTCAAAAAGGTTCAAAATAGACCAACCATCCTCAAAACTAAGGTTAAATGTTTCCATTATTTTCTGCTTGTTACTATTTAATTACAAGTACTTAAGAAATAAGGAAAACAGTAAAAGAAATCGGAGCTCATAACGGATTTCTGTGCGAAAAGCTAAATACGATAAAATAAATTATGTAGAATTGCTAAAAAAGTCCCAGCAAAGTAAAAAATGGTAAACTTCGGCGAAATGCCCAGAATTTCGATTGCAACTTGGACTAAATTTAATGAGGCAACTTTGTAACAAAATCATTAAATAATTGTAGAAATATGCAGCGGCGTGCAACAGAAATACCATACAATAGTATAGTAAATTAAAAAATAGAATTAAGAAAAACACAAAAAATTAAACAAATAACAAAAACCAAAACCAAAAAACACCGCAGGAAAGGATACAAAGGAATATTTCCACTTCTAAGGAAGTGCGTGCTGGTGGCATTTGAAAGCAGCGAGAGAAAATGAAAGAGGTAAATGTATACAAATAAATACTTAAAAATATATGTAAATATGTGTGTACAGGCACAACAACAAAGTTGTTGTTGAAACAACTACAAAAGTATGCTTGAAAAACACCGAAAGTCACGAAAGGCCTTGAACATTTGCGCTGACGGAAAACAATGTATGAAAAAAGCATAAAAAACTATGATGAAAATGGCGAATTAAATACACAAAAATCAAAGTCAAGAAGAAATATATTCCAAAATCAAATAACCCACCAAAACCGTGACCTCAGCCAAGCATAACATACAATTTAGCCTCAAACTAGAAAATGCTAAACGCCCCCCTACTTCACTTACTAAAATAGCATTCGCTGAACATCGCAGAGCTCAAAACTTGGGCCATTATTCAAACAGCCAAGCGTGAGTTCAACCAATTGTAGAGTAAGAATTGACAGTTACATTGCCGAGGAGAGCCGAGGACGAGACACTGCTTGCCTCTTGGACTCTTTGTAGAAGTCGGTATTTACTGAATCGCTAATATTTTTAAAGATATAATAGAAGAAGCAAAAAAAAGAATCAACTAAAAGAACAAGTGTAATATAGGAAGAGAATGCCAAAATTGACAGAAAGGGAAGTTAAGAGTGGAGGTGCTTTGAGCTAATAAATTTTAGATAAGCTAAACAGAGGCTATTGGTGATATGATATAATCAATGGGCTTGACTCAGGCTTGAAAGCAATGGTAAGGTAGGTGCTTTCTAACCAGATAATTGATCTAGCTTTATATACTATTTGGCGTACTCTGTTGCTTGCACTGGTACTGGGCCGCTGTCAGAGATAACTCCAAAGTTCATTATAATATTGGTAAAAAATGTTGTATAAATAAATGCGGCGCCGCCGGCTAATTAAACAAAACTTTAAATCATTCACATGCACGCACAAACTCCCTCATATACACAAATATGTTAACATGTGTATGTCTTCATTTGAAATGCACTTGAATGCGAGTGGCGAGCAGTCGGTCATTGCGGCTTCCCTTTGTTTTGCTGTTGACATTTCTTTGTATCACAGTGTAAGCACATGTCAGTGAAATGGACAAACAAGTAGGCAGACAGATAGACAGATGGACGGGTATGCAGAGATATATAGGAGGAGAGACATGCGGTCTGTGAGTTGGTAATAATGCAAGAGCAAGTGGTGATTAAAGTGCAATGGTTACTTTAGTAAAAAGAGAAAACTCAAAAAAAGAAATTACAACAATACCAACAAACAATACAAGTTTTAATACAATAGCAATAATGTGCCAGCCGCCATGTAAGTATGTCATAAAAAATGCCGAGTTTTACACCGCTTTGATTCATTTCTTGTTTAATTAAAATTTAATTATAAATTATTATATATAATAATTTCAAGCTATTGTGCGGCGGTTATCGCTTGTGACCTCCCAGTCATTTATTAACGCAGTCACGTGTTTTTGCAGCATATTACAAATAAAATGGATGTGAGATTTCAGTACTTTTCGTATATACTGTATAGTTTTTTAAATGCTGTTTACATATCTGAAAGGCTGCAACGAGGTAAATTGTTACATGTTATCAAAGCGTACAACAAAGTAATCAGACTATAGCTTTGTATATATAATAGTCATTTGTAAGTACATATAGAATAATGGAAAGAGATTTCCAAGCATGTGAATCAGAATGATAAGAATCATTAATTAATAAACACGATCAACACAAAAAAAAAACTGTTCTTTGTTAAAAAATTAATAATAATATTAAAGTTTTTAGAACTCATAAAGCCAGATAAATAAAAACCGTCTTTCATAACTCGGATGCATATTATTGTCAAACGATCGAACGAATTGGTCCACACATCCTGCTGGCCACCATATACTCAAAATAATACTCCTCTGGTTGATGAAGAATCGTATTATCTGTCAGTATTTAGAAAGTATTAAAAAAAGTATGTCAGTGTGTTTGCCTTAGTACCCAATATAGATTGATATTGATATGTACCTTCTCCCAATCTCGAACCGCCGAGTAAAATTATTTCCTTTTTCTTGCTTAAGCCGCATATACTTATACACTGCTTGAACTTAACTATTCCTAACTTGCTTTTCCATTATTTTAAGCAGTTAGTCACTCCATTTTATTATACTCAAAATATGTAATATGTGAAGAAGTTCATTCCTACAGAAACGAAAAGTTTATATTATTTTTCATGTAATATTTCAAAAGGAAGTACGAAAATCGCTTGTACAAATAAATTTTTTATAAAATAATTTTGTTTTTAAAAATGTTACTTTTCACTGTTTTATATTATTTGCCGAAAATATTGAATTTTGAATTAATTAAAGAAAAAAAAATCAGACTACAAGTATAAGCAGGCTGACATTTTATCTAAATTAAGAAGTTTTTATGTTTTTATTAACCACAAAAGCGTTTTGCAAATTTTAATTAGTATTAGTTTTTAAAAGCTTTGAAAAACTAGAAACCATGCCGGTAAAAACATTATACCTTAATGGAAAATTTGATGTTATTGACTAAAGGTTACTCATACGCCCCACCACGCACAGTACGCCGGTTGTCGGGTCGTATGAGTTACCTATTGAAATGAGTGAATGTTAAATTTCATATTTTTTCCGGGCATATTTTCCTCTCTACATCAGGGAATATTATTTATTTAATAACTATTTGAAATATATTAAAAAATTTTCCCACAACAAAATCACTTTTCTGGTAGTAAATTTCACCAATTTCTAAAGTACATACATAAGTATCAAATATAGATATATATATTTTGTTATTATGATGCAATGCGGGACAAAATATGATAAGCAATATGATTTATACGATCACGAGTGAATAATTTAATATGTGTATATACACATAAGCTTTATAGATATAAACAAATATATATATATTATATATATTTATGCGCTTTATTAAATTCCCTGTATGACCCGTGATACTTTTTTCTTCTTAATGAATTCGTGCCCTCTCATTTAACAATTTATAATTCGAGTTAAGCGCATTTTCCTTGCCGTGGTGAGGGCGAAAGCAATGTAATATTTTCAATTAAATACACGTGGGAAAAGTAAGAAATCACCTGTGGTCAAGTGACCAACCAACTGTATATTGGTGTATAAGTGAGTTGCAGTTGATTACAGCAATCAGTTGCTTTCAATCTCTCAGACTTTATCATCCTTTTCAGCTACTTTAAGCTGATTACATTCTCACATGCATATGCTCTTCAACTTAATCACTACCCCAGCTACTCCATTGACAACATCGCTACCATTATATAGAGTCTATCTTATTCAGTTTTTTTCTTGTTATAAAGATAATTTTATGCTATTTAGATTTGAACAAAATGTCGGTCAAATGGGCGGCATGGCTGCACCCGTTTATACTAGTTTTCAATGATCCGGTGCAGGATTTTGGCTGGAGTTTCGGCCATAACGGACGGAATGTTGCTTTCAAGCTTCTCAAGGGTTGCTGGTTGATTGGCGTAAACCTTTGTTTTTAAATACAACACTCCTAGAGAAAGTAATCTAGAGGACTTGAATCGCATGATCTTAGCGGCCATTTGACGGGACCTTTTGTCGAAATAAACGAGTCGCTAAACTTATCACGCAATGTGTCCATGTTTAGAAGTGAAGCATGAGGCGACGCAGCATCTTGTTGGAAATAGAGATCGTCCGCGTCGATTTCATCAAATTCAGGGAAAGAAAAGTCATCGAATATTCTGTTATAATGCTCGCTATTCATGATAACGGTATTTCCCGCCTCATTTCGAAAGAAGCCATCATATCAACATGATAAAATGGCAAATATTACTGAACACAGTGACAAAATTTGACACATACCCGTAAACAAACATGGCCGTACGAGTTGTCATCCCTATTGCTAGATACTGTAGATGCCCTTATAAGGGCGCGTTGTTTGACATGACAATTTCTGCATGTTGTTGCTACTTATTAGTCAATAAGCCGATTATATCAGTGCCCGGGACAACTCGCTCAGTAGCACGCAATTTTTAACGAACTTTTTGTCAGCGAGTCAAACAACCAGCGAACGAGTGAGCGAGCGTGTTGCGTTCAGTTGAAAGTAAAAACGGTTTAATTATTGAAGGGGAAAAAAGAGAAAAATATTAAATGTATGTACAGCAATTGTAATGGCGAGCAATTAAAGTTGAGTGATAGTAGCAGCTCGAGGGATAATTATAAGTAAATATATTTATATATTTTTTAAGCGTATTTAGTCTTAAGATTTTAAAGTGACTCAACTACTTTAAATTGTTTGTAATAAAAATATCATTATCAACAAAAAATATATTTTTTATTGTGAGGGCCACAAGTGACAAGTGTCAAATATTTATATATATTTAGTGCTAAAACTTAAAAATATTAAAAATATGCAAGACAAATGGACTTGATGGCGAAAAAAGGTTTGAGAACTTATACACCAAAAAGACATACCAACAAAAGCAGTTCGTTACACTGAAAAAAGTAAATCGAGATACTAAACCATCTCTATGAGCAGTCATCAGCATGGCATTATGATTGCAACAGCAGAAAACAAATTCCAGTTGCTAGTCCTAGAGGGAGAAGAAAGCGAGGTCATTTACAATTACTTTCACCCGACCGACCCCACAAGCTTGGGAACAAATCATTAAGACCGTCTTATTAGATGGTAAAATAGGACACTGTAGGTTAATATAGGTAAAATGGTTTTAGGTCGTTCTTTACTGAATTTGAAAGGACGAGAGGATCACTATTCATCAAACCTTCCGGCTGCTAACGGCTGAAGGTTTTCTATGCCGTATTTGTTAAGGCTGTCTTTTTCGAATAAAAGATCAAAGATTGAACTTAAAAGCGACGATTGACCTGATAATATGAGTTTGCTTTGGATGCTGCACTATTATAAGGTTCATGAAAAATTGAAGAATATTAAGAAACAGAACAGAGAAAATGTTCAAAAATAAAAAATTAAATAATTATAATAATAAAAATAAATAAAAAAATTACAAAGCATTTGTGGAAGGATCAAAGTTTTTGAAGCGTTCATTATAAAATAGTATATTAACAGCACGGCGTATGAGTAACATTTTAAAACTTGTACAGGTATAGTTGTAAGCATTTCAAATTTATGGCATTTTAACCAAAACCAGGCAATTAAGTTTATTACCTATAAAATGTGTGACTTCTAGGAACCATTTTTAACTTATTTAAACGGCCATTAAGGTTTTTAATTGGATGCTTTCGTTTCGTTGAATATGTTCTTTTAAATTTTAAAATGTTATAAATAAAATAACATTCGTCTGTGGCATGTCGCATGTCGCTCATTGTGGCAACAAATTTCTTGTAACAAATTACTGGAGGCAACAAATTAAGACCAGCCTGCAGCAACCGAATTGTGGTGGCGCAACCCTCTAATACTTTATGTAACTGCTAAATAATTGCATATTTGAATCACTTGTATGAATACAAGGGCAGCTTAAGAAGACAGGGCGTTAAAAACATAACACCGATGGAAATGAAAAATGTGTGTTCACTTTCGGAATAATTCACCACACTGTTCGTTAGTGAAGATAGGATAAGAGAGAGAATGAGTTGCTGAGAAATAATCAGAGCTTGAGAAGACTCTCATCCAGAGGTAAATAATAGTATAAAGATAGGTGAGTTAAATTCATACAATTATCCACAAATTCGTACACTGAGTTCTAAAAATTCTTTTTTTTTTAAAACTCGGCTAAATGGTTCTATGATTCTCCAGAGATGCTATTATATCACTATTTTTTGTCAACACATCTCCAAATATGTTTGATAGTAAGCCAAGTTCCAATAATAAACATGTCCATAAATCATTTAGCGCTCTTCGGTTCTGCTTAAATGATAAACAAAAAATTATTGTTTAGTTCTATTATTTGGTCTAAGAGGCGCCAGAAATCACTGGCAATAGATTGGAATGCAAAGATTTTCATTTGGTACATAAATATCTAGCACCAGATAAAGGATTTACCGTATAATGTAAGCTAATAATAATTAACTTTCACCTTGAAGTCAAGCTCGTACTATTGTAAATACATTTGGAACTCGAAGTCGGATCCAGGTGTCAGTTGGGTAAAACGAGAATGGTTAAAGGAAAATTAGCCATCCCCGATGAATTTCGTTCCACTGCGTATTCAAGCATAAATAACTACATATAGAAATTTGAAAACTGCTCAAAATTTGGTTGAGGTTTATCAAACCACCCTTATACAGTATGTTTGTACGTAGTGCACACAGAGTAAAACACAAATTTAATGAATAGCAAGTTACAAGTGTTGCAATAAACCAAAGCAGAAAGAATGTCAAGTCATGGGCAGGAGAAGAAGAGTTACCATCAACGCGAGGCAATGCGGTGGAAAATGGCACCTCAGAGTGCAGCGTAGTGCGAAAGGGGGATAACTGCTAAACCATGACCATGACAGGTGGTGCAAAAGTATAAAAAAAGCCAAGTTGTATGAATACTAAGAACCGCCGAATGTAACGGCGCACTGAACTCTTGTGGTAGCTGCAACTTCTATAACAACCTTTGTACCAATTGCACAGTCAACGTTATCGTGGGCCACATTGCTGCGTCTGCGTGGGGCAAGTCTGCAAATACTCTAACAATCACACAGCCCCAGACACACGCTCATATAAAGAGGAAGAAAAAAAAGCTGCGAATAGCAGAGATCCATTGCATAGCAGCTACGGTGGCGAATGCACTGTGTAAATGATTGCGTTGCACGGGCCTGTCGGTGCCTCTTGATGTTGAGAATTGTGCATATAAATAACGAGAAACCATCATTTAAGTGCTTGTAATTTTTTGTGTTTTCTCAGACGCATCGAGGAAAAATACGAGAAAACTTAGGATCCATGTATGAAAGTGAAATTAAGCGCTGGAAATTATTTTTTGTAAGAAAGAAAAAAGACTTCGAATTGCATGCCAAACGCGGGTAGATGAAAAATAATGTGATAATATGACTCAGTCTAGGAAAGACAAAAATAGTTTTTTTTTATTTTATTTTGTTGTATTTTTAACTTTAAGAATTTTTTGCATGAGTACCGATTCAATATAATATTAAATACTGATGTATTTGTTACATTTAGTGCGAGTTTTAAGAATCCATTAAAAACCTTATTCTATCATGCATGCTAATATCCATCAACCGCTTTTCAATACAACTATTCTAGAATGCGAAAGACTCTAGCACGTCTACCTATTCTCAGACTTCAAGAGAATGCTCATTGCGGATAAATACAGTAAAATGCGAAGTAGTCTGCGCATTCAGTTGCGTGAGTGGCATCTTCTGAAACAAAGACTAATTGTACCACAAAATGAAATATGTGGAACTGTAGGAAAATGTTGAAAATAAAATCAAATTTTGTTAAAAGAATAAACTGTGCAAAAGTGGTTGGACAATGAAGTTTAGAATTTGAATTAAGAGAAAATCAAAATTAGTTATCTTACTGGAAGCAACTATCTGTGTATAATTTTGGTGATTGAGTTGGCAGGTTTACTAAAATTCAGTATCAATTCATAACCAAGAAGGTCAACAAGGCCGCAAGCTATAGATTCTGCGAATCAAACTTTAGTTTCCGCAATAAAGTTTTGAGCTTACAAAAGTCTGAGACAATTTTAGGATTGTTGAAATACTGAGTGATTGTGAAATTATTTTCTTTATTTAATTTCGACATAAATTTAATTAAGTATAATAATCAAAATATAAAAATTCGAGAAAGAGAAATGTGAGATTAACTGAATTGTAGTTTCATTGTTTATAACGCCGAATCATCAAAAGTGAAATATATACAGCAGATGACAGACACAATATAAAACAGAAAATAGAGACAGAATAAGGTGCAGTGTGCCTATATCCTTTGTAATAAGACACGCATTACATCGAGCGAGAGGTAGAATAATTACTTGAAGAACGCATATAGTTGCAATTGAGGAGTCGCTTGTAGACAATGTGATACCAAACTCGTTTGAATTTCAGCAAGATTGCGTACCATTTGCAATTGAATTTCATTTTACTTAATTTTTGCTTAGTGAGCATCTTTGCCTTTTTCAGAATTTTTCTTATCTTATAACAAGTACCGTCTCTTCTGGTGTCTCTCTAAGTTTGTTTTCAGTGTAAATTTGGCTGTGAGTGTACTTACTTCCACTTGACGATGCGCTAACATATGCCAAAGAGCGTCGCTTTAGTCCACTTGTGCCGTCATTATTGCTGCCGACGGGCAGAAATCGCGGAAGAGACAGCAACGTTTTGAATAGGTCAGTCACGTTTTGATCATCTTTGGCGGAGCACTCCAGCACTTTCACTCTGCAACTGATTAAAAATGAGGCTTTCCAGGAGGCAATCATGAAGAGTATATAAAAGAATTTTTGAAAAGAAAGAAAATGCAAAATGTGGAGTTTTGTTGGATTAAAAATATTTAAATTGATTAATCGCCAAAACGAGGTTTAATTATACTTAGAACGTCCTATATTTCTCTGGATAGGGAATTTTTATAAATTCTCTTCCGAGTTCTTGATATCGACTGAGTTTGCTCGAGATTTCATCCACAATAATTCCGCTTGACTAGCAATACGTAACTGAACGAAGCATAT